CACATACTGGACATCTCCGTTTCCACGGAGATGGAAAGAAGATTGATAATTGCCAGTGGGTAGGGGCTGGGGACGGGGCGTGGCTGTTTCATGGGTGCAGGGTTTCACTTGAGGTAATGAAGATGTTTTGGAACAGGTCGGAGGTAGTAAAATTTAAGGCACTGTGAATGTACTAAATGTGTTGATGAGTTTATTCTCTTTTTAAACACTTTTAAATGCTTTTCGTTTCATTTTGGTTTGGGTTTTTGACATGGGGTTTCTCTGTGTAGCCTTGGCTGTCCTGGACTCACTTTGTAGACGAGGCTGGCCTCAAACTCATAGAGCTCCGCCTGCCTCTGCCTTGCTGAGTGCTGGATTACAGGTGTGGTCCAGTGTGCCCGGCTTTAAATGGGTTATTTTACTTCATTGTGTTTTGGTACTGGGAACTGGTCATAGGGCCTCACATATGCTAGGCAGCCATCCGGCCATCCCTACTCCCATCACATCCCTGTGCTTTTTTCTCTTTCTTCTTCTTTTCTTTCTTCTTTCTTTCCTTTTTCTTTCTTTCTCTTTCTTTTTATTCTTTCTTTTTTCTTTTTCTTTTTTTTCTTTGTATTTTTCTTTCTTTCTTCTTTCTTTCTGACAGTCTCAGTAAATCGCTGAGGTTGGCCTTGAATTTGTGATTCTCCTGCCTCAACTTCCCAATTAGCTGGCAGTACAGGCTTGTACCATTGCATCCAGCTTAAGAATCTTTAATCTTAGAAAACAAAAAAAGTTTAAAAAAGTAAATTGATGATTAATTTTACAGTATGTAAATCTTACCTGAATATTTAAAATGTAGTAAAGTATTCATAACTTCTCATCAATATCAAATTACTGAGAAACAGGCATAAGCCTTTATTCCCATTCCTGTGATGGAAGGATTGAGCCAGCACAGAACTTGCCAGAAGCTTGTAGTAAAAAATTTAAACAAATGCTTCCTGATTTATCTGGCCACACACTAATGTGTGTGTATGTGTTTGTCTGTGTGTGAGTGTGTGTGTATAGCTGTGTGTCTGTATGTGCAGAGACACACAAACATATTTCTCTGTGTGTGGGGGGGGGCAGAGGTTCAATTCATGTGTCTTCCTCTTCATTTTCCACCTTCTTCTTTGAAACAGGGTCACTCACTGCGCTGGCTAGGATGGCTGATGAGGAAGCTCTTGGATCCTCCTGCTTCTGTCTCCAGCCTGCAGCTCAGCTCTGGTAGCACAGGCAGGCAGGCATTTTGTCCTCTGAGCCGCTCCCCAGCCCTGACTCTAATGCTCAGCCAGCAGGGGCAGACTCAAGAGCAGCAGCCATTCACCAGCAATCCCTAAGGGCCAACTCCATCACCAAAGTCAGCTGAAGGGCCGGTGGTGCAGTTGGTGGCACAGGGCTTGCCTGGCGTACCCCAGGCCCTGGGTTTGAACCCCAGTGCTTTCCCGAACTATAAAGCAACAACACAACCGTGCCTTATCAATTAAACAGACCTGCTGGGGTCTGAACCCCAGCCAGTCTGGCTATAGTGGGGAGCAGGGCTGTGGGGTGGCGATGACATCGGGCAACGATCACAGGCCATTTTAATGTGATAGAAGACTGTGAAGGCCTTGAGACTTCCACGTGCTTTCAGGACCAGAGCAAACGCATGCTGTAGAGAGCAAGGATCCCTGGAGAGGAGGTGGTGTTTTTCTTTTCGACTCTGGTGCTTGGGGGGAAAACATACGCTTCAGCACACACCTCCAAAGCAGCCAGCTACTGGGTGAAGGGCACAGCAGCACCAGAGCTTAAGGAGATTAAGGCTCATGGAAAATGAGGGTGAGAAAGACAGGATCTTGAGAGGAAGCTGCTAGGCTGTGCCACCAGAAACAACTAAAATGATGCTGCAGGAAGGTAGGTGGGGGCTGTCAATCTTCCCTTTCCACCCACACCATATAGCCAAAGCCGAGGACAGCCAGGCCTCCCTGTCTCACCAGGCCTCCCTGGCCCCATCATCTTCGGGACCACTGAACTTGCCTCGTGCTCTTCCTCTGGGTCAATTCCTTCTGGTTTGACTCCAGGAGGTTTTCTTCGTCCTATGACTTTGTCTTAAGCCCCAGACTGAAAACAGCACTGGGCATGTGCAATCCGGACCGAGATTCAGACACTCCTCTGGTTGGTGTGACTGCCTGTGGCTGGGACACCAGCCACAACCAGGTGTCCCTCACAGGCACGAGGGACCTTTGGGGTGTCGCTCTCCCTTTTCAGGCATTTCTTTCAAGACTGGACCCAACCTACGGCTCCTCGTATGGCCTCACACTCGCAAATGGCTAGACAGGCTTCACGTTTAAGAGGCTTCTGAACGAATTGAACAATAAAATCTATTAGATGCTTCAGAACCCACTAGTTTGAGTGTGTTAAGCCAAGTGACACAGAGGGCGCTGTGTGTGTATGTGAGTGTGCATGTGTGAAATTTTTCCCCATTACATGGGGGGAAGATGTGTTCCTGTCACTACACGCAACAGAAATTGTATTATTACTTTCCTGGAAAAGTCCTAAAAAGGAGAAAAAGCACCCGTGCTCTGTATTTGTCTCTGTATGAGGTGGAAGGCAGAACAGAGAGCGGCCTCTGTTTGACAGGAACGAGGAGGGAAAGCCAATCTGAGGTTGAGTTGAACAATAGTGATCCTGGGCTTGTGTGGCAACTTGCCTAGGCCGGGAAGGTCCTGTCAAGCTCTGACCTGTTATGAAGGGCTCATGGTGGCAAGGGAGAGTCCACATTGGCCTGGGTCTGTCCTTCGGCAAGCCATTTGAGTTTCCCAAGATGTTACCTTGTTTGCACGGTAGGGATGGCAATATTTCACTAAAGGTGGCTGTGATGGAATGAACTTATCTCTCTCATAAAGATACGTTGAGGCGGGGTGCGGTGGCGCATGCCTGTAATCCCAGCACTCAGGGAGGCAGAGGCAGGCGGATCTCTGTGAATTCGAGGCCAGCCTGGTCTACAAAGCTAGTCCAGGATGGCCAAGGCTACACAGAGAAACCTTGTCTCAAAAACAAAAGAAAACAAAACAAAGATAAGTGGAGGGCTTGACCCCCACACCTCAGAAAATAGCCCTATTTGATGGAGGTCTAATTTACTTATTTAGCGTGCGCGTGCATGCCTGCCTCTTAATTGTCAAGGAAATACACTTATTATTTGGCCATGCTTGAACACGTGGCCCAATGTTCATGTGTTAGAAGGTTAGCTTTGAAGGACTAGTACTGGGATGTGGGGACCTCCTGGTTATAAAGGCTGTGCCTTCAGGGACGGGCAGATGTTATTGCCGTCAGCCTTTGCATGAGTGGCCTTGAGTCTGGCCCTCTCTTCCTCCCCGGTTTTGCACTGTTGCCTTTCTCTGTCTTCCATGGCATGACACAACACAAAGGCTCTGAGCAGACGCCAGCGGCTGTGCCTGGACCTTGCAGCCCCCAGAGCCATGAGACAAATAAGCCTGTTCTTTATAAACTCCCCAGTCTCCTACATTCCGCTGCGGAGGTAGAAAACGGACCAAGGCAGTATGCAAACTGCGGAAGTGTATTTATTTTCTTCCGACACGGCATTGCTTCTCCACACTCACCTCCGGTCACCTTCCACCCGTTCCCCCTGTCTCAGCACACTGGGTCCTGGCTCTGCCCGCAGCATGCAAGCTATGTTCCTTCCTGCCTGCCTTGTAATGCTGCTTCCTCTGCCCGGAACATGCCCAGGGCAATCCCGGACTTCCCACTCAACGAGACCTTCAAACAATGTGGCCCTGTAGTTTGTCGGACCAGCTCTCCCCACACTCACTGCCCCCCACTCTACTTGGCTCTCTCCGTTTCCCATGTCCTCACTAGACTCTAACGTCCTGTACCAGGAGGCGGTCTTGCATCATCTACGACCGCTCCCCCATTCTATGACATCAGCTCTGTTCACTAACACGAACCACCATGTAAGACAGTGCCTGGTTCGCTGAAGGGGCTCGGCAAAGAACTGGAAAACCTACCGTTCGTTTTTTGTTTGTCTTATTTTTTGTGAGACAGGGTTTCTCTGCGTAGCCCTGGCTGTCCTGGACTTGATTTGTAGATCAGGCTGGCCTCGAACTCACAGCAGTCTACCTCCCCTGCCTCCCCCTGCCTCCCCAAGTGCTGGGATCAAAGGCGTGTGCACTTGCTCCACTCTTCATTTAAACAGTCCCAACTGCCTTATCATTATGAAGCTATTCACAAGTGCTGAAAAAAATAAACACAGTGGATAGTAATTTATTGTGGTTTTTTTTTTTTTTTTTTTTTTTTAGCTTCTTTTAAGTGACTCCGTCAGAGGTCCTGTCACCTGAGGAGAAACTCCAAGACAGGTGTGACAGCACTCTGAGAGGGCTTCAGTGTGTGGGCTAAGTGTAATCAGGTATCTAAATATACAACCCCTGCCCTAAGGAATGCTCACGGCCATTCCTTCCACCTTAACTTCCATCTCCTCCCTCAGCCTGTCCAAGGTTGAGAGAACAGAATGACACTACTCTTGGGAGGGAGGCAGGTGGAGAAAGGCTCCCAGGCCCAGCCCTCAGAAGATGAGTACTGAGTACTGAGTACTGAGCACTGAAACAGTGCCATGCTCTACGATCCAAAAATCCACCCTGAGACAGAAGGCTCCTTACTACGTGGTACAACAGCCAAAAAGTGATAAAAAGTGATATTGACGCACTTACATCTTATGTCCCCTCGTATTTACAAAGCCCTTTTCCCAGGCTTGGTGATTTAATCAAAGAGCTGATGTTCAAGTGACTTGTTGGAGTTTGCTTAGCCGCTAAGTAGGGGGCCGGGGAACCTGCACTAGGATCGGAAGGTCACGGGTGACAAAGGTCATCAAACTCCACATTTAATGAATGCACCCTGTCTGGTTTGCAGTCCTGCCCCCCCCCCACGCCCCTTCCCACAAAACCCAAAACATTCTGTAGTACCTTCCCCACAAGCGACTTCCCAGCCGGTGCTCTGCGCAAGGGACTTACCACTATGAATCCACACAGATCCTGTTGTTGCTGGACAACCCTCCGCTAAACTGTTCTTCTTTTAGAAAGCCAGATCCCCCCTCAGCAGTGTGTGTGTCAGGAACTGGGGTGCAGCACAGCTGGGAATCACAGCTCTCGGGAACTGTTGACAAAGAAAGAAAAACAAACACCAAGCACACTTTAAGTCTTCCATCCTCACATCAGAAGCCGAAGTCAGTCAGAAAAGAGGCGGCCTTTGCTTGCTTCTTTTGCAGGACTTTCCATTAGGTTCAGGGAAGACTGCATTTCATTGCTTATGCTACGTTTTGTTGTAAGGATTTAAAACTTCCTGCTATTGAGGGGACCAGAAGAATTACATCTATGACCACCTGGACTTTCGTGTCCCTTTACATTTACTCTTCACAGAAGATTAGCTAAAACTGGAGAGGCTAGAGGCACAACTTCAGGGTGGGAGAGGGCGTGAAGGTGGCCTTCCCCAGGTTAACTCTTACCCCAGAGGCAGGATGCTGTTTCACTCTAATTCCAATCATATTTTACTAAGTTAACATTTCCTGTGGGCAGGACATGCGCAGTGGCCCCTAGCTCTGCCTGGATCAACACCATGACACATGACAGAGGATTTTAAGTGGGATCTGAGGGGGGCGTGTCCAGAGGAGAACCTCAGTTGTGATGGTGTCCTTTGTGAATGCAGTGAAACGGGACAGAGATATTCAGAAACCACTCTAAATGGGCAGAAAGGGCTGTGTAGAGGAGGCTTCTCACATCTTGGCGATGAAGGACTAACTCATATCAGACTAACGTCCCACCCAATGTAACTAGACACACAGGTAAAAAAAAAAAAATCATCTCAAAATAAGTTTATAGGCACGAGAAGACTGAGCACGGTGGTGTATGTCTATAATCTCAATGTGCAAGTGCGTGCGTGCGCGCGCGCACACATACACACACACACACACACACACACACACACACAGCAACAGCAGCTACTGCCACCATGAAGACACAAGAGGCTGAGATGCTGAAGAAAGACGAATAACACTGAAACCATCACATCTTCCAACAAAACTACCTTTCCTTTCACAGCATCTATGGATTTTTCAGAAGCACAGGGAACTCCTGGGAACCCCCGGAGACAGACACTGTTTAGAACCAGAGGCCGTCTGTCTCAGAGCTGAGGAAGAGATCAGAGAGGGAAAAGCAAGACCACTGCCCGGAGTTCTGCCTCTCTGAGCTGTGGGGAAGTGGCCACACCATGCCTCAAACAGCAGCGGGAGGGAGGTTAAAGGGAGCTCTTGGTAGTTCCAGGATGCTGGGGGAGTGACAGCTATAGCTCAGAACTCGCTACCTCAGAAAGCGTCCTGGTAAAAACCATCAACCACATGGCTCAAACGAAGACCTAAGAAGTATCCAATTTAGCTGTATGTCTCTGTGGTGCCCACTGTCTTTGACAGAATGGTTGTCAAAAGCAAAAGGAAAAGGCCTTGGGTGGGAGAAAACAAAACAAAACAAAAACCTACAGAAGCCATCTACAGTCTCTAGGATGTTTTATGCACACGGTGCTGCACTCAGTCAACAATGATGAATCAAGGGACGGGAGAGATGGCTCAGTGGTTCAGAGCACCATCTGCCCCTCCAGAGGACCTGGGTTCAACTCCCAGTACCCACATGGAGACTCATCCATAACTTGGGTCCCCAGGGACCGGATGCTCTCTTGTGGCCTCTGCAGGCACTTCAAGCAGATGTCTACAGACACATGCACACAAACACTCATCCACATAAAATAAACTAACAAGCAAACAAACAATGGTGAGGAAATACCAGGATATGGAGTCATGGAAGAAAAAAAAAAAAAAAAAAAAAAAAAGCAGCAGCAAGACAAACTCCAGTATGATTCAGACAGAGATGAGGGTGTGCTCTTTGAAGAAGCTGTGGTTAACACATTCCCGTTTATACAGCCGGTAAAGAACTGTAACATACGCCACTTAGCAGCTTAGAAAGCAAGGGAAAAAAAAGAAAGAGAAAGCAAACTGAGCAAGGATACAAAAGACACAATTGTAATAAACCTTAGCCAGCCACACAGCAACACTGTACCTCAAGATGCTGACCACACATTCTTTCAAGACACTAGTCAAGCACTTACAGAAATTAACACAGATAGTCCATAAAGCAGATCTAAAAAACTTCAACCGGTGGAAATAACTCACAGTTAAAATGAATTATTCTGATAATATTCTGAATATGCTGAAAATGCCAAATGTTCTGATAATTATACAAATTAGTAGGAGGTTATAAAAACATAGCTGTTTTTAAACGTGAGGTTAAGATTTCCATGCAGTGAAACGTACTGCTGGAAGGTGGCTCACTTTGGTGCATTTTTGATAAAGGACCCAACTCTAGAACCACCAAGAAACCATAGATCACCTCCATCCTTCCAGAAGGCCCCCTCAGGATGCTGTCAGCTAACTCCATGCCCCTGCCCCTCCCCCTGGGAATACTATCATTATCATGACCACAGTCAGTGGTCACACAGTGACCATACAATGGGCACACAGGGTGTGCTCTTTGTGTCTGGCCGAACACAGCCAGGACAGAGCACAGAGTGTCTCCAAGAGTCATCTGTACTGTTAGATGTATCAGCAGTTTGATCTTCTTTATTACTGAGAAATAGTCCTTTTGCATGAAAACACCAGGTTTGCAATACCTTCTCCTGTGGAAACATTTGTTTCCATTTGGGGCTATTTTGGATACGGCTCTTATCCACTCCTCTACCAGGTTTTTGCAAACATGTATTTTGATTTCCCTCAGGGGAAAAAATGCCTTATTTGAGCAGTGGGACCAGTGGGTTTCAGGTTCATGGGTGTTTAACTCTAAAAACTGCCAGAGGCACACCCCCCAAAGATGCTCTACCATACAACACGGACATTCACTCAGCTTTTTCCTAGCTTTTTCACTAGCTTTTTCCTATTTGTAATAGCCAGAAACTGGAAACAACCCAGATGTCCCTCAACTGAAGAATGGATAAAGAAACTGGTACATTTACACAATGGGATACTACCCAGCAATTAAAAACAAGTAAACCATGAAATCTGCAGTCAAGTGGATAGAACTAGAAAAGATCATCCTGAGTGAGGTAGCCCAGACCCAGAAAGACTCACATGGTATATACTCACTTAAAAGTGGATATTAGCCATATAATACAGCATAACCTTACTACAATTTCACAGACCCAAAGAAGCTAAGTAACAAGAAGAGCCCAAGGGAGGATGTTTGAATCTCGCTCAGAAGGGGAAAGAGAATACACAGCAGAAATCACTGAAGAGAGAGAACAGGCTAGGAGAGGGAGTGCTGAGGGTAATGGAGATCACATGTGGGGAGAGCCGGGGCAGGAGGATAGGGAACTTGAAGAGAGAAGAGAAATGCATCTCTGAGACAGACTGGAACCTGTGACAGGGTAGGCTCCTGGGAAGATATGGGGGTAACTCTAGCTGAGACTCTTAGTAACAGGGGTCATGGAGACTGAAGAGGCCACCTTCTAACCAGACAGAACTCCTAGTGAAAGGAGGAGAACACCAATTGACCCACAAAATTTACCATGCCTACAAGATATGCAGGGACAAAGATAGAGCAGAGATTGAGGGAATGTCCAACCAATGCCTGGTCCAACCTTAGACCGATACTAAGGGAGAAAGTCAAACCCTGACACTATTAACAACACTCTGCTATGCTTGAAGACTAGCATAGCTGTCCTCTGAGAGGCTCCACCCAGCAATGGCTCGAAACAGATGCTGAGACTCACAGCCAAACATTGGGTGGAGCGCAGGGAGCCTTGTGGAAGAGTGGGGGAAGGGATCAAAGGACCTGAAGGGAGACAGGAACTCCACAAGAAGACCAACAGAGTCAACCAACTTGGATCCAGGGGGCTTGTAGAGACTGATGCACCAACCAAGGACCATGCATGGACTGGACCTAGGCCCCCTTACATATATATACCCAATGAAAAGCTCAGTTTCCATGTGGGTTCCTAGTAAGGGGAGCAGGGGCTGTCTCTAACAAGGACTCTGTCGAATGCTTTTTGATCACTTCCCCCTGGCAGGGCTGCCTTGCCAGGACACAAAGAAAGAGGATGTTCTCAATCCTGATGTGACTTGATATGCTGAGGTGGGTTGGTGGCAGTCGGGGGGCTCCCCTTTTCTGAGGGGGTACAGAGGGGGAATAAGGGGAAGAGAGATGGTGGGACCAGGAGGAGAGGAGGGAGGGGCTACGATTGGGATACAAAGTGAATAAATAAATTAACTATTTAAAAGAAATAGAAACCGCCAGAGATTTTTGGTTGTCCCACTTTACGTCCCCACCAATAAAGTATGACAGTTCTGGTTTAGCCTGCCTCACGAACTTTTTGGTGTGCCAACTTCCATTCTGAGGCATCACCTCATCACAAAAAGATAAGCAGTCCATATTTTTTTTTTTTTAATGGGCAGAGGACTTCAACAGACAGGGCTCCAAGGGAGACACACGAACCAGTGCGCACGCGGAAGGTTGCTGCACTGTTAATCTCGGCAAATGCAACCCCAGCATGACGATATGCCATGTCACACCCAGGAGGACAGCCACCACGAGAAGACATACATACACACACACATAGAAAGAGCTGGGGGTAGAGCTCAGCGGGAGGGCTTCAGTCTCCAGTACTCAACAGCCAAACCTAACCAAACACTCTTATCTAATGAACAGGATGGGTGTGCATGAGAGAAGCCAGGCGGCATTGCCACAGGGAAGCCCATGACTCTTCACGCACAAGGAGGAAAAAAAAAAAAAAATCTGAATTGAGAATGTGGACGGCTGAAGGGGAACTTTCCGGAATACAGTCGAGAGCAAGTTGTACAACCCACTGTCACGGGATCACCCCACGGAAAATCAGGACAGTCAGGAAGCCCAGTGTGAGGCCACATCTACAGGGCTCACTTACTCCGACAAGCCGGGAAGCCTGTGACCTGGCAGCTGAGAAGAGAGTGTAAGAGATACCGGGCGTACTCAGAGCTTTCTGCCCTGGATTGGAGACCGTGAGGCCTGCTGATCCAGTCAGGTGGAATGAGGTTTCCATCCGCAGGACCTTGGCTTGCAAGCCTAGCCTTTAACTGCTGC